TTTACAGAGACCCAACAGTACACAGCTAATGCTCAGAGCAGGTTTATTTATATAGCATTTCTGCTATTTACATGTATATATACAATAGTGAAAAGAGAGAAGTTATGAACTGGCACACTTGACTTCAAGGCTTTTCTGTTACATTTGTTGAGCTTTGCTGCCCCCTACAGTAAGACTAAAGTAAAGACAAGTTCATTAATTAACTTTCACTAAAGTTTTCATTGCCTTAAAGTCATAAGCACATATTGAAAACATATGCACATATTCCATCTGGTGAGTATCACACACACACACACACACACGGGTTCACATACACCGTGCTGACTGTCTGTCCGCTGTCCCTTTGTTCAGAGTGGCGGTCTGGTGTGGCGGGTCATCTCATCCTGTCAGATGAGGACTTGACGTCTGTGGTTCAGGGCAACTGGAAACGTCTCAACACACTGCAGCACTACAAGGTCAGAGGTCACACTTCCTCCTTAAAGGAAATACAGTAGGTTTTCCTCACTAAGGCTGGGCTGCACCAATGGCCACTGGATGTCGCACTAGAGCATCAGCATCTCAGACCAAAGACAATGGGACAGAAATAAAATGATATTATGGAAAGGATCCCTACAGAGATAGACCCTTCGTTAAACCAGAAACGGCGGTAATATCGCTGTTGTTTTGAATTTGGATTTACTCTTTTTAAGCCTAATTTCGCTAAACTCTAATCTAATCATAGATTAAATCAATCTTTTTTTAATATATATTTTTTGGCTTTTTGGGCTTTTAGTGCCTTTAATTGATAGTGACAGCTGTAGAGTGACAGGATAGGGGAGAGAGAGTGGGGATGACACGCAGCAAAAGGCCACAGGTTGGCAAACCCATTGGCGAGGACTCCGCTTCGGTACACACCAGATGAGCTACCATGGCGCCTCTGATCAGTCAATCTTTGTTGGCGCAACCCAGTCTAAAAGTAAAAAGGGGCTTTGTGTTCTAATATTTATATATATTTTATGTATATTTTGTGTTGTTCATCAGGTCCCAGACGGTGCAACAGTAGCGCTGGTCCCTCGTCACACCAAACACATTCACCATGACAACCACGACTATGTGGCAGGAGAGAGTGAGTGAACATCACAACAGTTTGGTTATTATAATAATAAATCTCAATTTTCTTCTCATGGTGATCACACTGCCACCTGTCTGTTGTTATCAGAATATATATGAATCTGGCAGCAGGACTGTCTTGCACTGGAAATGGAGAACTTGGACTGTATTAGGAAGCGCCCAGTTGTTGATGTGTAAAGGTGACATAAAGGTCACATGAATTCTGATATGACTGTTCATATCACATTGCAAAACAATCAGACCAGAACCTGATTTAGACCACATATGAAAGTGGTGCAAATCAGAGTTGGAGAGATCAGATTCCGTGTAGTTTGTGCTGTTCATACTGATATTGAAAAACTGATCTGAGTAACATATGAGCAAAAAAAATGTATAATCCAATTTTTCAGATGTTGTTATTGACACCTGTTTTTTATATTCAAAGTAAATCCCTATAAATTCCCATAACAGTTTTTGACAAGTACAGCCTGTATATGTGATGGTGCAGCAGTGAATGGTACTAAATAAAGCTTTGCACACACACTGTCCTGTGCAGAGACGCCGATGCTGGAGGACGCAGACGAAGGCGGAGTGAGGCTGTGGCATCTGGTGAAAGCCAGCGAGGAGCCTGAGCTGCCCAAACACCGCAGAGGCAGCCTGAGGGAGAGAGAGAGGGCCAAGGCCATCCCTGAGATCTATCTGACCCGCCTGTTGTCAATGAAGGTACACACACACACACACACACACACATACAGTTAGGTCTCCATACAGCTGTCAATTCAGTTTTTGGGTCTGCTCTTGACACATCGATATAATGGTCCAGCACCCCAGTGTTTTAGCAGCTATTTTCGATTTAGGGTTAGTGTTAGGACGAATATGCTTATTAGTTTGAGTCAGCATTCCGAGTAAGTTATCTTCTGTAATAACTTACAGAAACACAGCGGGCAATAGTCCACCTTCTCTCTCTAACACACACAGCAGCAGGATCTGTCCCTTGGAGAGCACTGCGCCACTCAGTCCTGACAGCTGTGCGACTGTAATGCATAAGGTTGGCTGTTTGCGGGTCAGGTCTCTTACGCCCTCGGGAAAAATATCATGCTTTCTTGAATGTCCCATAGCCCACCACTGACATTTTAGTCCTGTCTCCTCAACAAAAACAAAACATACGTTTCACCATAGTTTTCATCATCAAAGATTTATTTTTAGCTCGTCTGTCATGGAAAAAAAGATCATTTTTCTAAAGAAATTAACACACACACACACAATGTTTTCAGATCCAGATATTAGTAATGTAGTACATATCTGACAATTCATTGTAGACTAGTTTTATTATTAATTACTTTAATTAATAACACTAAGTGTTAATTATAGTCATTATTTATACAATCAATGCAGTTTTTCATGGTGCAATCTAGCTGTATGTATTTTGTTGGTAATCATTTATATGGGAGTCCAGCAACAACAGTCACCAGTATCCAAGTGCATTTAAACAGATAAACAGCCACACCGAGTATCTATAACATCCCTCTGCCCCTCACTCTGACTCTGCTTCCTCCTCTGTGGTCTTCAGGGGACGCTGCAGAAGTTTGTGGACGATCTGTTCACAGTGATCCTCAGCACCAGTCGTCCCGTCCCACTGGCTGTCAAATACTTCTTTGACCTGCTGGACGACCAGGCAGGACAACACGGCATCGCCGACCCAGAGACCATACACATTTGGAAGACCAACAGGTACAGTACGGACATTGTCCAGGAATATTCCAGCTATGAAGGGTTTTATCCTCACAGATATTAGATCAGCTTTACCTAAGGATCCTGAAACTACAGGTCAGTTGTTCTAACTCTAGTGTCTCCTCTGTTGCTACAGTCTGCCTCTGCGTTTCTGGCTCAACATTGTGAAGAACCCTCAGTTTATCTTCGACGTCCAGGCGTCAGACCACGTGGACGCAGTGCTCTCTGTCATTGCCCAGACCTTCATGGATTCCTGCACCATCGCTGAGCACAAGCTGGGACGGGTGAGGCCGCATGTAGAAGCTTCTTGCACTGTATTCTCTTTATTGTGAATAGTTTTTAGTCTACAGTCATCATAGACACTGAACAAAAGGCTTTGTCAGGTACATAAATGATGAAAAGATTTTTATTTCAGGCTTTGAATAATGCAGCAGCCTCCTGTCCCTCCTTCTCTCTTTGGTTCTCATTTCCTCTTTTGTTCTTGAGCAGGACTCTCCCATCAACAAGCTGCTGTATGCCAGAGACATCCCTCGCTACAAACAGATGGTAGAAAGGTGGGCTCGCATTTCATTAAAGCTGCTGAAAACTAAAACTCCTTCGACAATATCAGTTAGATTTCACACCAAATATAATCTATTGTGGAATACAATGATCTCTGTCATATAATGGTTGTATCACATATTGTCGCACAGCTCTCTTTTGTTAAGTATGATGATGTGTTCTGAGTATAATCATCAATCTCAGTATGCATGCACGTCAAGCTGACTGTAATTGGCATTATTTCAGGTACTACGCTGACATCAGGCAGACGATCTCAGCCAGCGACCAGGAGATGAACTCTGCTCTGGCTGAGCTGTCCAGGGTGAGTGCAGGCCCGGCCCAGAGCCCACAGTGTGGACGTATAGAGAACAAGCGCTTCCACACGCAGAGGCTGATCTTACCTGATGCTTTGTGTTTCAGAACTACTCTGGAGAGCTGAACTACCTGGTCGCACTGCACGAGCTGTACAAGTACATCAACAAATACTACGACCAGGTGTGTTTACCACTCAGTCTGACTCAACAGTATCATGGCACACTACTTTCAAAATAAAGTTTCAAATCAATTATTGTATGAATCCTACTTTTATACTCTATATACTCTAATATGCTGGGGAGCAGTAAATACATCAGTGTTTACTCCACAACACGCTGTATCTTTAGATTCTCACTCAGAATAACCAAACCAAACAAAGATAACCTTTAAAGGGGAAATACAGCTGCTCCTATTATGGTTATATAATCATTCAGTATGTTTCTGCTTAAAGCAATGATAAATCTTTTTGTGTTCTCTCTCTCTTCCTCCTCTTTACCTCTCTCTCCATCCATCCCTGCGCCATATTCTCCTCATCAGATCATCACGGCACTGGAGGAGGACACCACGGCCCAGAAAATGCAGCTCGGCTACAGACTGCAGCAGATCGCAGCCGCCGTGGAGAACAAAGTCACCGACTTGTGACAGAGGAAACGCCCATTAGAGCCGTGGCGAGTGGAGAGTGTTGGGAGCGGGAGGTTAAATTAAGACACTTTGCACCCTGCAGATTAAACTAGGAAGCAGGAGAGCGACAGACTATTCAGGATTCAGGTTGGCGCTGAAGTTTGGCGGATAAGGATGCGTCGGTGACTCTGAGGCCCTGAGCTCTCTGTAGGACAGCACGTGGACACCAGACAAACCTGGACAAAATCCTGCTGTCCCTCTTTATGAAAAGACATTTGGAGGAACGTTTTATCTCCAGGACTTCAAACTTTTGAGGTTCTACAAAGCAGCTGATCTGAAGACTGATAAAAGGGGGACTTTATATCAGTGTTTTCCCTCTGGAGTGAATTTTATGAAGCGGTACCTCTTATGCCTTGTGTGCTTGTCGCTGCTGTACGGTCAGATGTTATTTCTGTGTGTGTGTGTGCGTGCGTGCGTGCGTGCACAGTTCTCCATACTGCCCTGGTTGTCCGTCTACATCTTGTATTTTCACATTCCTGGTTTCTAGTATAGAAGTAGCTTGTTACTATATTTTAGATGTTACAGACAGCAGTATTCAGAAAACAGAGAGCTCAGCTTCAGGATTTTTTTATCTGAAATGTTTAATAATGACGGTCAACATTGTTTGGAACAGTCTCTGCCGCTCTCTACCTCAGCCTGCTGCGCTGCATCACATACTCCTTTCTGTGATGTTGTTGACCCAACACTGCTGTGCACATTTCAACCAGCTTCAACCACCAGTACAGCAGCACAGGTCTGCCCTCATGCACATACACCTGCTGGACATGTGCAGCAGTACACACACACACACATTTCAGACTTTTCAATATTATCTTTCTTTGTGTGAGATGAGCAGCTGCTCGTTGGAGCATTTTAAGGTACTTAAACCCCGACTGAGTGACTCTGTTTTTGTTTCTTGCTTTTCTACTTGTCCGTGTGGATGTGTTTGTAGTGTACTAGTCACAAGAAAGATGTTAAAGGAAAAACAAAACTCCTTCCATAAAGAAACTCATATTAATGAAGATAGTGCGCACCACAGTTTTTTATGTCATATTTCTGTTTTCTACATTTTTAACATTCCTTTTAGGTTTTGAACGATGTATTAAATCATGGTTCACCTTGTTCCACTCCAAGCCGAGCTGAGGGTACGTGCTAAAATGTGTAATCGGCCTCGTGGTTAGTGTACAGTTCTTGTATTGAACACAAGGTGTCACTGTTTCATGAGCTGAAAGTCTGTATGGCATTTTGTCTTGTCATTTGATACAGGTTATGTATTGATTATACTGCTACTGGTTCAGTAGTTGATCTCGTCACACCTTGTGGACCTTGTATACATTAGCTGATATTTGCTGGTGTTTTCTCTTATTTAAGTGACAGAGATGGCTTCCGAGGGGTTAGTAGTGCTGGCTATGGTCGGACGTGCTGATGTAGGTCTTGTGTCAAACTCATTTTCCCCTTTAAATAGTGTTTGAGGTTCCCTCAAAGGTTCCCTTCCAGACATGGATTAAGACATCTCATTGGAACAATAATGTGTGTCTGATGTGGTTTTTCCTCAAAAAAGGTATAAATTCCACATTAAAATCCTTAAAAAGTATTCTACTCCTAAAGGCCAAAATGCACTGGTGCCTTCAATCGTGAAGGCCAACAGTTTACTTTTTTCAAACTACTTAAATTTCTACCATAAGACATGAGCTTAAAGTCATGTGTGGTAGTTAAACTCACCCGAAGAGCCAATCTCCAGAGCTATGACTTGCCAGCTAATGTCTTTTTTGCCATTTTAATTTATGTCAGGTGTGACAACATGGTGTGTTTTAGCCTTAATACCTCCATTATAAATTCTAGAATCTCTGAATATGCAAATGTGTTTCATTTCAAGTTTGCCTGCTGGACACAAGATGTCTCCT